ATATGTATTTGTATGTATAGGTATATATGTATATATATATAAAGTGAATTATAACAATTATTATATATTCAGTTTTTATTCTCAATTTGTTTAGTGTTATTTATTCTTAAATATTTTATCATTTATATTTTTATTTATAAAGAAAGTTACCTTACGTTAATGTAACACGGTGTATGCATGTCAATTAAGAATTGTTATAATTCACTTTATACATATATACATATATACCTATACATACAAATACATATATACATACAAATACATATATACATATATATACATATATATATATACATATACATATACATATGTATATATATGTATATATGTATATATATGTATGTATATATATGTATGTATATATATGTATATGTATATTTATATATATATATGTACATATATATGGATATGTATATATATGTATATATGTATGTATATATAAATATATATGTATATGTATGTATATGTATATATATACATATATGTATATATATATATATGTATATGTATATACATATATATATATATGTATATGTATACATATATACGTATATATATGTATATATATATGTATATGTATGTAGATGAACACATGCATGATATATTCATAAATTAAACGGATTCTTTCATTTTTCTGGACTGAATAATGTCGTGCATTGAATTTAATAAAATGTATCGTGAGACGTTAATTTTCTTTGACCCATCAAATGAATGCGTCATTTATTTACAGAATCAAAATTTAACATCACACATTTACATTAATTTGGCAAAATGATTTCTACAACAACATGGCTAATTTTGCAAGCTGTACAATTTGATTAACCATACGGCGATGGTTGAAAACCTTGCTTCACCACAGACATTTCTGGAAATATCTGGATTAATTTGCTAGCAGATAGAAGAGTTTAAAGATGGAAAGATGAAGTTTAGAGGGAGGGAGATGGTGTGTGTGAGTGAAAAGTGTTGAACAGAACGGCACCCTCCATTCGAACCCAGCTTTCCTCAGTACGCTCGGTAGTAAACTCGACTCGTTACCTCTCTGACGATGAATCAGTGGAAACGGAGCTCCAGTTAAGCTACCGGTCCAGCGTCTCCGTAGGATGGCAGAGAACCGTCCGGAGTGGTGGCGGGACTTCATCAACAACAGTTCACCTCACGAGTGGACTTCACATGAGTGGAGTCCTTCGGAAGTTCAACTCAGATGTGGAAGATTGCATAATTCCCACAAGACTCGGAAGAGCTCTGGATCATGCTGGACTTCTGTTCTCCCAAACGACTGGAGCTGCAAACTCTCCACCCGACTCGTTTGAACTAGGAAGTACCGACATTTAAAGAGCTCTATTTCCGGTTCATTTGGGAGTTTCCTGATTGGTCGTTTCGACCAGACAGGGGTGTGTTTTTGTGACGTAAGAGGTCACTAGGAGTCAGAAAAACAGCAAGAATGTTATGGAACAGATTGAAAATGTTTTTCAGACAGACGAGAGGAATATTTAGACGAGTTGGGGGAAAACAGGTGCCAGACTCTATATTTACGTCTGACAGGATTTTAAAAACATGACAGTTTGTTCCAACAACTTGTTTTGCATTTGACTCCAACCTTGGACCAACTTACACTTGCTCATTCAAAGACAGAAAATCAGAAAATGCATAATTACTCTGTAACAGACCTTAACATGAATTCTACTTTGCATGAGGATTAAAATCATTATTACTGTTTCACAGTTGAATTAAAAATGATTAGTTCACTGCAACATCTAAAAATGGTTTGAACTAAAAACACTTTGATTATCAAACATTTGTAAAATAGTAATGATAATAGAAAATAGTGTTCTTTCACTTGATCAATTCAAGAAAGAAAGTCTCAGGATGGGTCAACCTGTATTTCTGTATTCAAATCAATGAAATGACAGTTTCTGTCCCATAAGGTCCTTAAGGTCAGGATTTGACCTCAGGCTTAGTTCACTACATATTTATATGTATATATATATGTATATGTATATATATATATACATACAATCTGGATTCCAAAAAAGTCGGGACACTAAACAAATTGTGAATAAAAACTGAATGCAATGATGAGGAGATGGCAAATGTCAATATTTTATTCGTAAAATAACATAAATGACAGATCAAAAGTTTAGTCTGAGTAAATGTAACATTTTAAAGGAAAAATATGTTGATTCAAAATTTCACAGTGTCAACAAATCCCCAAAAAGTTGGGACAAGTAGCAGTAAGTGGCTGGAAAAAGGAAATTGAGCATATAATGAACAGCTGGAAGACCAATTATCACTAATTACACTCTGGGAGGCTGGGAAAACAGTTATGAGAGGGAAAATAATATCCTACGCAACAAACAAAAAGAAAAAAGAAAATAAACGTATTGAGGAATTAGAACAATCTATCAAATTATTAGAAAGTTTACAAGGAGAGGAAACACCGAAAAAACTACGCAAGATAAAATTAGAACTAAATGAATGTATTGACAAAAAAAACAAATTCTTGGTATAAAGACTTCGCTTAGAACATTTTGAACACAGTAATAAATCAGGTAGCTTTTTAGCTAATCAACTCAAATTAAATAAAGAAAAAACTTCTATATATGGTATTAAAGACAAAAATGGTAACATAACTTATGACGAGGAAAAAGTAAATAGTGTTTTTAGAGATTTCTATAAAACTCTATACACTCCACAAATAAATCCAACAGATGAAA